TGCAATGGTTGCTGACTTGAGGTACAGCTCTGACTTCTAAATGCTTTGGGAATCCTCATCTCTACCTATACCTTCTTCTTGAGATCATGCAGCTTGCTATGTAGGTCAATCAGCATTGGTTGGGATGTCTTTAACTTCCTGTCCCTTGTGCAGTAGGGTTTTGGATGATCACCCAAATTGAGCACAGGTAGTACCCTCTAACTTCATCACCCAATTATACTAGTTGCTGACTTGACAGCATGTGGTTAGGGTATTGCAGACATTTATGCAGCTTTTACTGGTTTACTGAAGGTTATCCTGATTGTCTGGAACCAGACACAATATGAATTGCTCCACCTGTGCTCATAGAACCAAGATAACTATGCATATTAAGCTACTGAACTCAGTTTGCCTTTTTAATGTTTAATCTCTCTCAGGAATCCAGAATCCTCTTAGCCCTTTGCATCGTACATTTTCCTTCCTTGTCTCTGTATTGACATGTTGAGTTGTCTAGATGAGATGTCTGTCATCACATCTCTGTTTAACAGAGTTATATTGCTTTTTCTTTTGCCCAGTGTCTCTACCACACACATACACACTCACAGACAGACAATGAAATTATCGCCAGTCTCAAGTGTATCTTTTCTGTCCATTTAGCTGTTTCTATGTGGGGAAGTGCTTGGTGCTGATATACAGCACTTTGAGCTCTGATTGAATTACACTGATGGGAACATCAATTACAGAGCATGGTACCAGAAAAAATTTTTAACCAAGCACCTCAGATCACATTACTGTGTGCAGTGCTCTGATGGGCTGCAAAAATAACAGTCTGGGCTGGAGAGATAGTACATTTACTGTTAAGACCCCACAGGGAGTTTTATTTATCACAAGATGTTAATTGTAGGAATTTTCTTCAAGCTCAATGTCAGAATGGAAAACAACTATTTGAGAAGTTGCTCTGAACAACACATGTTTGAGTTACTCAAGTTCTCTTATATGTTAGCTACAGAAAATATTTAATCATGTCATTTCCATAGTCTCAGACAACATCCATTACCTCTTCTTACCTCTTCTTCTCTTACATTATTCTTTATTAGTACCTTTGTTTTGAGATTATATGTTTGGCAGCACAGCTATATTTCATTGTAAGGTGATATATAAATGGACTCACCTAATACATCTCCAGTTTCCTCAGACCTTTGATATTCCATAATAAAACCAATTAACTTTTCTTGTTTACCCATTGATTGAAGGAGCCAGGCAGAGACAGACACACACTGATGGTGTTTGCTTTTCAGTGAAAGTTTCTAAAATTTAATTTTCCGCTAAAATATTTTATTAATGAATAAGGCAAAGGGATCATCATATCTCTTGAATCTAAATCAATTAATACATTTGGTTGTGCTTTCTGTATATATATATATATATATAAAGTATTAATATTATAATATAATTACATATAATTTAGCACCCATGCTCTCACAAAAAACATTTGTATGAGCTATCCCACTCCAAAGGTGCCAGTAAATGCACGCAACAACTGCAGCAGTACCTACGAAGGCAGTGAAGAAGAAGACTGCTAACAGGTAAACATGGATGTAAACAATGCAACTTCAAAAATATAAATTCTGAAAGGAAATGCTGTATTTATATTTGTAACTTTCTAGGCTTACACAAAAACTCACCAGTGGTCAACCGATATCGTTTCTTCAATGGCCGATGCCGATATTTAGAAAGCAGGGCTGCCGATGGCCAATATATAATGCCACAGCAGGATACATGAGTTACAGTACACGGCTTGAAAACACCCTTGTTCACCACCTTCCCAAAACCATAACCAAAGCGCAATATCGTTCCCATCGGCGAGCCAGACTGACGAGGCTCCCTGTGGATGTGTCTGAAGACATTTTTCTTTATCTGCCTTGTGAGCAGACGTTGGCCAATGCCAATAATCTCAAAATGCCAGATAATCATCCCAATAAATCAGTCGACCAATTAATTGGTCTATTACTACTCACAACAAGAGAGTGGGAGTCCCTACAAGCTTATGTCGCACACAGGACAACAGAGTACTGAATGAAAACTGTGTGGCACCTATACCTGTAACAGATGTAAGACTGATGTCCTTGTCACATTGACCGTGCAACTCCACCAAGTTACTAAAAGGTGAGAAGTGTGTCTGTGTGACTGCAGTAGAGTCAAAATAGAGAATTTGGCAAGTGTAGTATTTTGTTGTTGTCGGTGTTCACTTCTTTGTTGGCTCTCTACACCCACGGCAATAATTGCTTCTCTCAGAAGCCTTCTGCAATTCTTGGAGAAAACATGGTTTCATGTGGTGGGATGAATGTGTGTGTGTGTATGTATGTGTGTTTGTGTGTGGCTGCCACCCAAGGTTGTTCCTACAACATGTTGTCTTTTGAGATTCATTGCCTTAAGCAGCAATGATGCGCTCTCAGCAAGACATGCCAAGACTGCTGGCTGTAGCCCAAGATGAGGAGCAAAAAGGAAAGGAAGGAAGCAAAGAGACAGATTCTTGAGCCAGATCCCATGATTTTGTTTACCCTGAATAAAAGATTCATTTGGATTGAGAGAGCTAAGTAATTTCTGAGTGTCTTGATTCTGTTTAGGAATGTCAGATGAAAACCCCAGATGTTTACTGCTCACTGTTGGCCAGGAATGATTGAAGTGTACAAATGTTAGTGGTGGTTAGGCACAGAACAATCTGAGTTAAAAGTTTGTTCTTCTAAAAACTTTGTTCCCAGTAATCATGATTATAATTCAGATGAATAACAAGTATAGTTAAAGTACTTTAATTAGAATGGGTAACAAATTCATCTATCATTTTTTCTGGTGCTTCCAACTTCTAAGTCCCCCAGTTGTAATACCTTATGCAATAGGTCAAAGTTTATTTTTCTGGATGATACCATCATACAAATAAAAAATTTTACAGTATAGGTGCACTGATGATTATTTGGTAAAATTTTAATTTGAGTAAACGTGTTCCAAACTGTCATGTTGGTTTAATTAACATTGCTTGTCTCAGCAGAATATGTGAAGAAGGCACTCAGAATACAGTAGCACAGACCACTTTGAAGTTTAACATCAGAGGCTTGGACAGCCTGCAGAATAGACTGATGGAATTTTACTGTAGGGTTGCTAGTTCAAGTCCCAGACAATTTGGGGGAAAGAGAAAGATTGGCAGCAGAACAGAATGAGAAATGCTCTTTCACTGCCTCAACTACAGAGGTCCCCTTGAGCAACCTTCAGCACCACCTGTTGAGCAGGTCAACAGCTCAAGAGTAAAACACAGCCTCTGCTTAATACTGTGTGTGTGTGTGTGTGTGTGTGTGTGTGTGTGTGTCTACAAATTAAGTCCCAGAAAATGAATCAATGGCAGATAAGACCAAACAGAAACTGACTGTAGGTGCTTATGATTAATGCAGATGTTCAGTTGTACAACATATAAATCACAGGTCACACAATTATTATATTTGATGTCAGAAAAAAAGTTAAAGTGCTTTACCGGTAGAAGTAAATGATCTGTGGGATATTAATGTTACATTATGTGCTGAGATCATGCAGTTATAATGGATTAGAACCACATGGTTTTGAGTAAGATGCAACATGAACTTTCCAACACACCCATCATCCTGAAACTGAAAATCCACCCACTCAGCGCTTCACACTAAACATTTACCAAACAGATATTCATCTGCAGTCGATCCTCAAGGTTAAAATGTGGATTTATTTCTTTGTCAAACAGAATTATTTGAACAAAGAGAACCAGTCATGTAATAAATGAGCCTGGAAAAAAGAAGAAGAAGGAAAATGGGCAATTTAATATCTCTCTGTTGTAGGGTCTCGTATTATACATTTACAGGCTTTACATGCTTCCAAGCCTGATGATCACTGCCGTGTCATTGTTTAGACTGTTTCCAGCGGCAACTTCTTCTACGCCGTTTTCTTATTCCTTCCACTTTTTATCATACTCTCTTTCCAACAAATAAATGAAGACATATAGTTCAAGTCATCATTGCCATCGTCACATAATAAAGTCGTTTTTAGTCATGAATGTAATTTAAATGAAGAGAGGAGGAATGACATCTGCTGCACTGTATAAATAAAGGCACCGAAATTGAATTTCCTTCTCTTCAATAACAGATTGCTTGTTCTGCCCTGATAAGCAGCCTGTTTGATATTTTAAATGTCTGTTTCATTCTGTCCAGCTGCTCACAGAGATGCTGCTTTGTGATAAACCAACAAAAAAATCAAGGACACTTTACTCACTCATTTTAAACCTCATCACCACACACACACACACACACACACTCTCTCTAACACGTACACAAACAACCCTCACATGCGCACGTGCACCCCATTAGTGGTAATGCGCTGAAACACGCCCCCTTGTGGCAACGCTGTGAAGTTAAAAACCCGCCGTTACAACCGTGGTGCCTGAGATTGGAGACAGAGAGTCGGTGTAAATGTGTGTTGGTTTTTAATGTGTGTGTATGGGGTTCAACAGTCAGTCTATTTTTGCTGTCATAAATAATTGGTCCGCGGGGAGGGGGGTTGTTGGTGTTAAAGGCTCCTCCATTAGGCCGAAAAAACTTTCGGAGCGCCTTTCAGTTCTAATTGGCACTGACGATTGGTGGCACCGCAGCTGACGAACTCCGCCAAAAAGTCGACAACAAAGCAAAACACAAAAACCACCGCAGCCCCGTGGGCTCTCAAAGACATCCTGTGGCACCCCAAAAAGGGTTGAAAACCTATTCCAGAGTGAATGGGAGACCGGGAGGAGGAAAACAGAGAGAGAGGGAAAGAGGAGCAAATGTTGTTCTTTTGACAACCTGTTCAGTGTGGAGCTGTGAGGCTTGAGCGCATCTATGTGTAAGCCTCTGTCCTCCCTCCTCCCCTCTCTCCGTCCCTCCATCTCTCTCTCTCCCTTTACAGACAGGGGCGGTCGTTCTCAGTCAGCGCACATATTCCACTTGGCCAGCATCACTTGGAGTCCACAGACACAGCGCCGATTGAACGAGCGGAGGGGAGCTCATTTTCAGAGCGCATGATTGTGTTAGAGGGGCTTCACTAGACTGTCACCGGTGAGAGAGAGAGAGAGGGAGAGAGACAGTAAAGCCATTTCTACCACGCCTTTAAAAGTAGATAATCTACATAAGAGAAGACTGGGGTGTGTGGACCACCCCTCCCACCCCCTCCAAACTAGCCTTGCTTGAGTTTTTCAAAGGGAAAGTGGTTTTATTTTTATCCTAAGGAAGAGGGACTCTTCCTGTGGACCCGAGCAGCGGTAAGATTCCGCTGCCCGCCTCTATGTGCGTAAAATAAAAGTTTAACACACCAAGGAGATCATTTGAGAGGTCTGGGAGCTCGGCAAACTCTCCATTATACTCTACGGGAATTTCAAAGCTCATAGCGGACGCTCAGCTGGAGGAGGATATATAACTTTTCTACTCATTTTGTGGAGAGACGCGGAGGCGGGTTGGTCTCACGGAGAGCGGAGGAGTCCTCTTCGCTGAGCCGGGAGGAGTGCGCGCTGCGCTGGGTAGCGGACTGACCCAAAGGACGGCACCTCGGAGACAAGGTAGAGACGCGGCAGGGATTACATGCCTGTACAGAGAATACATTTTTAGTTTTTGTCTGGGTTTATCTAATGACTTTGCATTTTGCTTTCTCTGTGCGTAAGAATGAAATTATGAGCATCTTAAAGCAGGCGATTGTTTTTGTTGCTCTGTTCTAGATCAGTATCATGAGCATCCTTGCTGTGATTACAGTTAGTATGCCAAACCGATGACATTCAAATTTTGGTGGTCTACATATTCGCCTTTCTTGAATTTGCATCAGCTTTTTTATGCAGGCAATATGACGATATTAGACATCTTAGTGCAAACAAGTCTCATGCAGCGCACCCTGGCTGCTTACCAACTTACATGCATCGTATAATGAAACTTTGATCACAGAGCGCTGTGTAATGTAACGTGTCAATGCAGCCGACCCAGAGCCATTATACAAATTTGAGGGCCAGACGTCGGAGAAAACCCTCGTGTTCCGTCAGAAGAGTCACATAAAGAGGGTCCATTAGCCTCCTGACTCCAGCTGCCTTTCATCTTTTTTTTCTTCAGGTTGCTTTCCACAGGTCATGAATTGTGCAGAGAAATAACACCAACGTGTGATCCACAGTGATGCATTTAAGGAGAAAATCAATAGAAACAAAAAAAGTGCATTTTCTTTATTGGAATATACCTATGGCCCTTTCCATACTGCAGGAACAGGAGGAATAATTTCATTGATCTGAAGCAAAGGTGGTGTGTGTGTGTGTGTGGGTGGGGTCTAAGGTGCATGACCCTACTTGTTATAGCTAATCCTCCATGAACACTGCAGTCAGTCCTCAGTTTACTCCTGTTCTGACTACACCTGCCTGCCCCCCTCTCCCACCCACCACCCTTTCAGCAAGGAGAGGCACAGATTTAGTCATGCTAAACAGCAGACAATCCTATCACTCTCCAATGTTCTAACACACACAGCCCCCGCTTGTAAACTTTGTATAATCCACCATTTGTGATTGAATTACGCGTCCTTTAAGTTGAGCGAAACAGTGCAGGCTGGGGGGGCTAAATTGCTCTGTGATATTATTTTCACGGATTAAGGGGTCGAAGAGGACATAGTTGAACATGAAAAAAAACAATTGACAGTACCTCTTCTTCCTTTTAGATAACAATCACTCAGCTGTCGCCTCTTGTTTGTCACATAAATTTGCAGGCTGTTCCCTCCTGTGCCTCTGTTTTCACCTGTTTCTCCCTCCGTTGTGTCTCACTCTTTCTTAGGTTATGAGGGAACTGAGCTGAACATGGAGCTTTTCTGGATTTTGTTATTTTCTAGTGTCTGTCCTCTCGCTTGGGGCCAAGGAGTTTACGGTAAGAACGTGATATTTACAAATGTATTCCTATTATTACATCAATGCATGTTTTGTTAGTGCAGGCTGACTGAGCTCCACTGCAGCAGCAATGTTAATTTGTTCAATTATTAGCCCATAACCTTAATTAAGGGCTTCTCTGTGCCACATATTGTCCGGGTTTCAGTGCAACGCGCTAATAGGAGACAGTATAATAACTGGCGTTTAAACTACTGGGAGAATAGCTTCAGGGAGATCGACAGCAAATTAACTTGAGAGGGAGATATTACTTCTTAGAATTCACAAGAGGAGGCTGGGAAAACATCCAGCTCTGTGGTGGAGGGGAAACCCACCTGCTGTAAATCCAACCTAATTCCATTTTAAGGCTGATATTAATCTTTATGGCGAAAATTCCCATTAAGCCTACAGATTAGTGCTTTATTACACAAAGTATGATCAAACTTTAAAATTATTGTTTAAAGGTTTATGGTTATTACTGTATGGAGGTTATAGTTTGGCCAGTATTTAACTCACCACTATGCTTACTGCACTCACACACACTCGCACACATACAGACAACAGGTTTCAAGATGAGGATAAAAAACTGGCAGAGCTCCCTGAGACGAGGCTCCGTGTCTGTCAGGTTAAACAGGACAGTCACGCTGTGCTTTTAGGTATAAAGCAGAGATTTTGTCCCTCTCCTCAAGACGGTCTCGCTGTACTATTAAGGCTCAGTATCTTCAGCTACAGGCACCTGTCCAGATATGCATCCATTGCCGTCCCTTTGGGCAAGGCAAACACACAAACTGATCTGTCAGCTTTGATACTTTGATTTTGATGTTTGAAGACATGTGGCAGCTATCGAAAACAAGGTCTGTTTAGTCATAGTAGCATAGACTGCTGTTGTCATAAGCAATCCCGTAGCCTGCCGTCACACTGAGAAATACTGACAATCTGTCAAGCATAAAGGTCCATGTACTGTAGAAGCCCTCGCTAACTAATCTGGCTTTTTCCACTCTAATACTTCATATGCAGGTGTCAGTATTACTTTAAATGATAACTTACATGGACAATTATCAGATCTTCTCTTTGCCTTGTTATGGATTTTGTTTTGACCACCAGTTGACACCTTTTTAAAGCATTACACTGATGCCTTAATAAACAATATTAAAGCAAGTATTTTTGTTGTTCGCAGACAGAGCGGTGTCTGTGTACTGTGACAGTGCTGGCTGAGATCTCAAGAAGCTCATTTCTTTTCCCACTATCTGTTTTTATAGGAAATGTCAAACATGGCCTTACAATGAAAAAGATTGTACCTTTAGTAGCAGAGTTTTAGTAGCATCACATCTACTTATGTGGGATTTTTTTGAAACCTGCAGGTGTAGGCCTTACCCGCTTTGATAAAGCCAGGATTTACCATAAATCTGTTTTCAACTCGCTGTTATGCTCCTTCCGAAATATTTCCAGCGTACATATATTACATAGTTTGGAAACGTAACGGTTTAAAAAATATATGCAATTCAGAACTTAGTTTCAATGCCAGCAATCATTTTGCAGGGATGTGCATTCAGTGCATCAGTTGTCTCCTCATGGACTGACTTTTCTGATCTAGTTATGCAGTCCTGCAGAAGGCTCACTTCTCTTTGCCCTTGTGCATTCTTGTCCTCATTTTCTTTTTCATAATAACTGTATGAAACAGTTTTGGGTTCTCTACAGGGTGATACACTGATTGTCATGAAGAATTTGTGCATCTGCGCCTCGTGGGCTCTGTCACAAATACGCAGTGGGTCGAAGCAGAGAGGTACGCAGTCAGTGCCAGCGGTAGAGGCTGCAATGATATTTAGGTTTTTTTTATATATATGATTTTTTTCCCCCAGTTTTATAGCTTGCTTGTCCTATGCGCAACAGCAGCCTTTCAGTCTCTGCAGAAGGAGGAGAAGTCCCCAAAGATTTCTGGGAATCATACTGGCCAGCTAACACAGGCCCCAGTTTCCCATGTGGTTTGTGTAGTGGCGGTGCTCAGCTGTGCATACCTGCGCAACAACTGTTTCATGTAGGTAAACCATCATCACTAAAAAGAGTCATTCAATGAGAACAAATGGTTTCACAATTTTACACAATTGCAGTAAACAACACGAGTAGGGAAGATTGGGAGGGGAGCCAACAAGTCTGGCACGCTCACTCGCAGTGTATGTGGATATGCATAAAATGGTTTCCTTCACTTTGGAATTGTTTAGCACTTGCTCTAGCAGACAGATGCGACTCACCGTCCGTCGGGAACCGAACAGTGTAAGCGTGCCTGATTGATGTCAGCGCTTTGGACGGCTGTGAGGTTCATTTACTGTAGCCTTCTCTGGGGTGTGTTTGGATGTGTGCATTTTTGTCAGCTCAGGCCTGTGAGTCTGTGTGTGCAGGTGCTTTGCACTTGTGAGTGTGAGTTCACGCACGAATGTGAAGTGCGTGAGCTGGCAAAACTGTGAGTCTGTGTGTGTGTGTGTACATGCTTGTGTGACTGGGACGTGTTTGTACGTCAGGCACACTTTTCTTCCCACTGCAACAGTTTGCTGGTTCAGCAGGGACTTGTGGATCAGTCACTGCTTCTCTTGCAGCAGTGTAGTATTGATTGTACTTCTGTGAATTTTGATAGGCTGTCAAAAAGCTTGTAACACCTGTCCATCAAGTAGCGATCGGACGGACAAGTGCACAGAGGAAATGCGATGCTGCATTTAAAAGGAAAAGGGAAAAGCTGCACACTATTTTTTTTTTTACATTAAGTTTTGTTATGCACGATTATTAAGATTACTCTTCTGCTCTCCTCTTCTTTTTGGGATGAGCTTTTTATATGCGTCCCCACACAGTGGTCACGAACATCCCTGCATACATATACAGTGATTTTCAAGTTTCACTTAATCTGGATATACTGTAATCCCAGACAGTACAAGCATGATGCGTCACTCACCATACTTAAGGATTAGGGTAAATTCAGAAAATGTCAAGACAGTCTCGCAGAATTTGACTCCTTGTCTGAAGGACTCAACGGTTACGACATCAATGCAGACAAACTGTACTAGAAAAGTGTCTCTCCATCTTTCTGGTGCTGCATCCCATGACATCACACTCTGCAAAGCAACAGAGTTCACAGGGACACCAAATTATTGATTGCTCGACAAAGTCACACGAAACCATTAGTCGGTGCTGTAGATGGAATCCAAACTGCATTAGCCTGCAATATGACGCTTCATTATGTGCTTGTTAACAGGAAATTTAATGAACTTAAATCAATGATTTTGCTTAACAGTGTTTTTTTTAGATTTGAGCAAGGCCCTTGCAGCAGCAGGAGAGTTGAGGCCTTGCCACTGGCCATAGAACAAAGCACTACAAGAGATGCAGAAAGTGAAAAAGTTTAATATGCCTACATTGCGCACAAATTTAACATCACTTTGAAGATGTTGCCCAAGGAAGAATGAAAGGCTTGGAATACTTTTTATTTGCAATCTGTGTGTGTCGACGAGCACCCAACATTTGAGCATCTTCTTAATGTAGAGCTTTACTCAGCGCAGTACATTAGCTTGCCATGGCACACGGGTTGAAAGCTGGTGACCTAGAAAGAGATCATTCCAGGTTTAACTGGCCTGGCCACTGGTTCCCCTGTGACTTTAACTATTCCTCTCCCCACATCAGCACTTTTTTTTTGTTTGTGCCTCTTTCATGTCTCTTGCTGCTGAGTTTATTTTGGCTGCTGAATATTGCCCTTTTCTAATAAGCATCCATAATTTATTGGTGGCTCTGAGGCAATGGAGGAGGGGGACGGGAGACGGTGATAGAAAGAGACTGAAGCATTAAGCTAGAGATGATTATAATCTTTTACCTCCCACAATCTGACACCTACTACCTTCCTCCTACTCCTTACCTCTTTGCTTTATTTTTCTGCACACTGAATGCACATGTGCACGTGCCCGCGCACACACACACACACACACACACACGCGCCTCTGATCAGTAATGTCAGCTATTGTTGAATGACCTTTCCCTTTATATTACGTTTAATTAAAGTCCTTGAAATTTAATTAGTGGTTTCGCCAAACATTTTTTTCAACCTTCTAAATGATACATATATAGATAGATAGACAGATAGATAGACAGATAGATAGACAGATATATCTATCTGACTGAAAGGAGACATGAGGACTAGGTCAATATTTGGACAGAAAAATTCAGTGGTTTGTCTGCTTAGGAAGCTTGATTATGGTGTAGTGTCAGACGATTAGGCAAGCTATTCTTTGCACTGAACAGATAGGAGATAATGGGTTGGCAGAGTTGGAGAGCTGATAAATGTTGGCGTGTGTCTTTGTTGTTTGTAATGTATATCAGATTCTCCATTGTTCACCACAATTAAAAATTTTAAATATAAATGTGAAGTACTTTATCTATTAGACTCACATATCGGCCTGTTCCCCCTCTTTGTGTCCTGTCCCTCCCTCTTTTTGTGTCTGTCTCTACTCATCTCTGTCAGTATCTCTGATCCCATCCCTTCTGCTAAAAATTTTAGTGCACATGGTGCTTTAATTATCTCTTCCTGATCCCATTTGTTTCTCTCGCGGTAACTAGGTCCATTTTGTGGCAGTTTAGCCCTTGCTGCCTTAATATTAATAGGGTCATATCTTGACGTTCACATACGCAATACAGGATGTAACCTCCTTGTTTTGATGCTTAGTCAGCTCAGTCATCTCCTTTCCTTCTATCCTCTCCTATCCTCTCTAGTTTCCAATTTTTTTTGTATGGCTGACTGGATATTAAAGCCTGACAACATTTCTATTAACCCACAGGTCAGCAAGAGAGCCATAGGCCTATGGCCAAAGTGATATGTTGACCGTGGTTTACACTAGCCTTGCTACCTGGGGCTAAAGGATAAGAGCACTAACACAACGTCTTGGGAGGTCTGATTTATCGCCCTGCCTCCCACCAGTTACACTCTGAGCCCGGGGTAGGCACAAGGCGGCAGGTAGAGGTGGGCAGTCTGGC